TTTGACCTTTGTGGTTATGGGTTTTTTTGCTTTAGTTATATTTTGTTGTAAAGCATCTGCAAGAATGTAACTCAGTAGCTCCATTAGTTTGATTTCTGCTAGGATTGAGAATACAATGAGGAAGATGTGGTGGCTAGGATTGAGAATACAATGGGGAAGATGTGGTGGGAGGTGTCAACATTCACATGAGGAGGTTTCAGAAAGCTAAAACAAAGACTCAACAAGATCATTAATAAAGGATAGTAGAAGCCTTGACTCCAGATACTTTGTGCTGAATACATGAACCCAACCTGTTAATTGCTCTCCATTTCAGAAATCTGAATCACAGTGAAATTGTATAGAAGAGCAAAGCTGTGAACTAAAATTATAATTTGCAGCAAGAATTGGCCACAAGGGCTAAAGCAATATAAACCAGAAAAATACCACTTTTTTCTCAGTTAGCAGTGAGACTTTGGGATATGCTGGCAGGAAAATTAATTGCATTGCAGGAGGATAAATGAGAAATTCCCTCTGATGTGCCGGGCTCAGAGAAGGGCCATGGAGAATTGTGCAGTTAGAAGACAGTTCCAGAAGAGATGAATTAGATAAAGTACATTAGGATTTTCAGAAATAAATACTGTTTTGTATTGAAAATCGAATACTCCATAACTGTGGTTTTGAGCACAACTGTTGTAGGGTCCATGTGTGTAAAAATCATCAGTATATCAAAGATAGCAAGGTCTATTTGCCCATGTTGCTATGGTGACAGATTACTGTCGTTGTGGCTAGCTGCCTCTGCCTAATCAGTTAATCTAATAGAGCTGGGTTTGATTATTCTCACACTAAGGACAACTACTTTTTCATTTTAAAATCTGAAGGTTTGTCACCATGGAATACAATTCAGAGATGCTCTCTGAAGCATCTCTGCTGAAGCAGACATCCATTTTTGTACCCCCTTTTCTGTTATTGTTCCTGTTTTTGCATTAGTACTGTGGGCATTGGTGAGTTATATTCAACTCCTTAATCCTCTGACAGAGAGAGAAGTTCTTGATAGGTTATTGCTTCAGTGGGATGATTTGCCAACTTATTTTCTCCAATTTGCTCATTATTCCTTGACATGGCATCAGTAAGAAGATGAGAAAAAGTCAGGGGCTTTCCATTTACAAAGAAGCCCATTTCAGGTGACACAGAGAGCACTGGACCAGTTGCTGCCAGTTTAAAGATTTCCTGGTTCTGCCAAGAATAGATTCTCATTTCTTTCTGGAACTCCAACAGGCTCTCACACTCATGCCTCATGGCAAAATGTATTAAAAAAGTAGGATTATCAGTCTCCATAGATACTTGATCCTGTACAAACAGATATTAATCTATTGTTTACTCCTCTCTGAACAAATCTGTTTTGGAGGGGAAAAGCCATCTATTGACTCTTTATAGCTTTTTTTTCAATATTTGTGAAAGAAGGTACTGAACATGAGCTGGTTAAATAATCAGAAAGGCAGCAACTCAAAAGTGTCCTTTAAGCAAGTAGAGTTCTCTTTCTATTAAAAACTTGGTGTGTCCCCCAAATCAACAGTCTCTCTTGTTCATGCACTGAGAGAAGACTCCCACCTTGTCTTTAGGAAGTGGAGCACAGGAAATAATGAGAGAATAAAGAGAGACTTTTTCTATTCCATTGAATGATTCAAAAAAGTTAAGACTGGTTGGTGGAATTCTATACATAGTGGGCTTCAGTTGGGTTTTGTTATCTTTATTGAAACCTGATGCTTGTCCCTTGAGCTGTATGTCTTACAAGTGCGGTGCTTGAACCAAACAGTGGAGACTGTCTTCATCCTGGTTTCAAGTATGATATTAATTAACTTGAAAAGAATTTGCTTAAGTACTGCAAATAATGACATAGCACTTCAGTGCAAATAGCAAATACACCCTGAATACTGAGGCACGTTCCTAGGAACAGGCTAATGTAATGCAATGGTAAATTCCTTTGCTGTTGCTCTGAAAGGCAGCTTGATAATTGCCCTACAGAAAAAGGTGTATCTGCAGCCCACTCTAATTTTGAAATAATGTCTCTTTTGTCTACAAAGTGGAAGCTCTTTTAACCATAAATTACAGAGAATGCAAAGTAAAGGCATTAAAGTTTGGGAGAATTCCAGAATAAAGGTTACCTGTGTGTTTTATATTTGGGTGTACTGAACAAGCAATAGTAATTAATTTATTTTGGTTAATTTTCAATTATTATTTATTTTGGTTTATTTCCAATATTTATGTGGGGAGAGAAGACAGGCCATTCTCCACAAAAGGTGTAAGGTCTTAGTGTACACTGCTGAAAATCTCTGTGAATTCAGAATTACTGTCATTCTTGTGGGCTTTTTCTTTATAGTGCTTGTCATGATAGTATCAAATTATGTTGTGTATGTTAACTGTGCATCTGTGAGATGAGAGCTGATTATCCCATTCACACAGGTAAAACACTCTTTTTGTTAGCAGTTCTGTCTACTTGGAACAAAACTGGACTAATTTCTATTGGGAAAAGAGTTAGATGTTTTTGCCAAAGTCTGTCCCAAAAGGCCAAGCTGGCATTGACAGCTGGCATAGAATTTTTTTCCCTGAGCTTGTTAGTGTGGTAAAACCAAAGCATGACTGAAATCAGGTGCTTTATAAGCAGAAGGTTAAGGCTGTGTTGTGGGTAGGCTACAGACTAGCTCTGCTTACAATAAGTGGTGTGCATCACGTTAACTGTCCATCTAAATAGAGTGAGAGTGGTTGTCCAATGAGTGCCTAAGCAAATGGCCCCTGGGTCTGGGAGTAAAACTGAGAAAGGCAAGGAGATACAGCTGATATGTATGCTGTGGATTACCAGCTTCTTAGGGATGCTGGTGGATCTTCTTTGGGTTTGGGTGTTTTTTGGGGTGTGTTTGTTTGCTTTAAACCTTTTCCTCTCCATACAAGGAAAACTGAGGGAAAGCTAGAACTAGATGGACAACACAGTCAAGGCTGTTGCTATTAGTTAAATACTAACACTTTGCAGTGTTACTACCTCTCTCCACTTCAAAAGCAGCTTTCAGTAAAACTCTTCTCCTTCACCTTTCCCCCATAACTGAGAGGGTGTTGGATGCTTTCCTTCCTTCACGACTGTTCCCTAAAGGGAGTAGCACAAGCCTGCTTCTCACCTCCATGCACTCAGCTCCCTGCCTGCTGATCAGATGTGACTGACTTCAGCTGGATGAAATGTTACTCTACATCACTGGCACAAGCAACTCTAGTTTCCTGGGAAACAAGTGCCTTCATTAGTGCTAAGACTGTATTGTAGGCAACAAACTATTCTTACCGTCAGTGAGTAAGCATCCCCCATTACTTAAAAATAGAGACCTGCAGTTTGGGAAAATTTATTACACACCGAAATACTGAAGTGATGGGTAATCTTCCGTGTGAGAGCTTTAAAATTCTGGATGGATGAAGTCAGATGCAGAAAAAACATGTTAGTAAAGGGGAATAAAACCCCCCCACATTTCTGGAATACCTGTAAGTATGGGTCTGAGTGGTAAAAATTAATAAAGTCTGCAACTTGCAATTGTTCTGGCTATTTGTGCTACTGTTCTATTTTAAATGCTTTTAATAGTTTATTAATTCAAAGACATATATGTATGATTTTTATTTTCTGTTACAGATCTGGAGTCCTTACAAACAGCCTGACTGCACTGGGGATCTGGATGGTAGGATCGAGGATGATTCACGTTGCCTCTACACTCATGAAGAGTACATCAGTCTTGTGTTGAACAGTGGTAGTGGTTTGTCCCATGATTATGCCAACCAGTCAGTCCAGGAAGATCCACGGATGATGGCCTTTTTTGACTCCCTGGTGCGCCGGGAGATTGAGGGCTGGAGCTCTGACTCGGACAGTGACCTCAGTGAGAGCACCATCCTGCAGCTTCATGCAGGAGTAAGTGAACGTTCAGCTTACAGTGAGTCAGAGTCCTCTGCCTCTTTGCATCACTCCCCACCACATGCAGCTGAAGAGTCTGATGAAACTGCCTATAACTTAAGGGCCTTAAGATCGACTGAATCCCCCTCAGCCAGAGAAGACATGGCTTCCCGCCAGCAGAGGCTCTCTGCGCTGAGAAAGTACCAGGATAAACGTCTCCTGGCCCTTTCTAATGAATCTGATTCTGATGACAATACCTGTGAGGCAGAACTAGACGCAGACCTTTTCCCACGGCCACGGTCCCCAAGTCCTGAGGAGAATGAATCCAGCAGTTCCAGCAGCAGCAGCAGCACAGAAGATGAAGAGGAGCTGAACGAACGACGCACATCTATGAGGCAACGCAACGCACTGAGGCGCCGACAGAAGGTGCAAAAGGAGGAAAGGACTAGTACTAACGCAGAGAATGTGACCCCCTACATAGGTGAGGATATCTATGATTACCCCCAGATCAAAGTAGATGATCTCTCTTCTTCTCCAGCTTCTTCACCAGAAAGGAGTTCAGCCAACAAAGAAGTTCTCAAAGAAAGGACCTCTCCTTGTTCAGACAGTGAATCAGTCGAAAGAAAGATTTACAAAGCTTACAAATGGCTTCATTATTCTTACATATCATATTCGGCTAATAAAGATGGTGAGTCCTCCAGAGGAGATGGGGAGAATGATGAAGGGAAACCAGGAACTAGTGGAAGGCATAGTACATCACACTCACTAAATAAGGAGGATGCTAGAGACTTGAGTTCTTTGGTGCCTCAAGGTTCCCCAGCTCTTCCTATTGAAAACCATAACAAAGAAACTTTAAAAGAATGTAGCTTGATGGAAAATTCTAGTAATGGTCAAGCTCATGACTGTGACAATCAACGACGGATGGAAGGTCAAGAAAACACACCTGAAGACACTAGCAGTGCAGGTATAGAGCATTCTTTTGAGACTAAAAAGCTCAATGGAAAAGCTAACTGCAAAGGGCTAAATAGTTATACTGAAGAACCATGCATTCAGACTGCAGGACTTGTGGAACAGAAAAATAGTCAAGCATCAAGCCATCACTTGTTGGTCCCTCCATTCTCAGCTGTTGCCATCTGTAGCATGTCAGGTCATTGCTCCAGAAACCAAACTGATGACAGTGAGGAGAGGAGCCTTGAGACCTCCTGTGTCAACCACAATAATGGCCACTTGCACCTTCGCCCTTCGTGCTTCAACAACGGACAGAGTTTTGGAGAGCACGAGACTGTGACGCAAGGACTACAGCTGCACTCAAATGCTGATAATGGCAACCTTGTACAGATGGGTGTGACCTTGCACAAAGACTGCTGCCTGTCTGAAATGGACTCCAACAGCTACAATGTGGGCACAAGAGAGGATAATGTTGACTTGCATCCTGCAGGCAGTGAGAGCACTCAATCTCTTGGAGGACTGAAAAGACACAGAGTGGAGTTGGAAGATGCAGATTCAGAGAGTTCATCCTTAGAAAAGAAGTTAAAAACATGATAAATGCAAATGTCTGTCATAGTGTGCACTCTCAAAAAAAAAAAAGGTAAAAGAAAGTATTAAAGGCACATAGAGCTTGGGTCTGAAATGTTGCGTTTGATTCTCCATTCCATCCTTCAGTGGGTCTGTTTTAGATTGCCAGTGGTTCATGCTGTATAAAAATCCAACTTACTCCTTAATGAGACTGAGTCTAGTGTACCCATACAAGGTTCTGTTTCAAGTAAATCCTAATTAAGATGGTTGACTGAATTATTCTTGTGTGAACATGTGTCGTTTGTTCAGCCAGCCAATCAGGATAACTGCTTTAAATTTTAATTGTTCTTCTAAGAAGGAATTTTTCCATACTGACACTTGTTACACATTACAGGCTGAAGAATGACTGAATTAGATCACACTGGTGGTAGCTTGGGATGTGTTTCTTGTTCAGAAAAACAGGAACGAAACCTTTCTGGGTCCTTTATTCTGCTTCAGAAACTAAAGAAATTCAACCATTAGGAAGGTTATTTTCAGAACTGAATGGTATCTTTAGAGATTACGCTTCATAAAGCACTTGTTTCTGATACAGGTCATTGATGTTATTTTCATGCCAACAGAAAAGCTATAGAAAATGACCCTCTTTCCAAAATCAATTTTAGCCCGTTCCCATGGTGACATTCAATTTTGTGGGGGTTTTTTTATAGAGAAGAACTGAATAACACAATGTCATCACTATGCTAAACTGTGATTGTTTGACAACAGGAAGGTATTATGCTGTAGGCTTCACTCTAACCAAGAGCTATTAAAAGTCAGGCATTTCAGCATGCCTTTCTGTGAGCCTAACACATAGAGATTAATTAGTATTTATTATTAATTAAGAATATGGCTCTCAGCGTTGGGACATATTTTGGCTGGGCCCTTTGCTTCCCCTGTGAACCTACTTTTGGGAGGTAGCAGGCCAGAGAGAAAATACTGGATGCATGGATAATATTAGCAACTGATGCATGTTAACAGCAACACTTGCTAAAATCTGAAAACTGCTTTTTTTAACAGTATTCTTAGCCCAGAGCTCAAAATAGGTCGGTACTGGAGATCAGGGTTGGGTTTCCACTACTGTGTTGCAAATATTTAAAGCTGTGGGTGAGTAGATGGATGCAACAGTGTGTGTATGGGAGAGCTTCAGAGAAACACCCCCACGTGTGAGTGTGCTGGGACTCTGGAGTCTGGCAATCAGAACCTGAGCAAGAGGGTAGTGCTGACTGCTGGCTGCCATCAGCTGGTGTCCTGGTCAGGTAGATAAGGGTTCTTTCTGGCCTGAGCTCTGCTTTAATGGAGTATATCTAGTGAGTCCTCTTATTTTTGGCATTCTGAAGTTGGTGGAATTGCACTTGCTTCCTAAGCAACAAGGTAAGAGGAGTTGGTGTGTAAAGGGAAAAGAAACCACCCATAAAGGACACTAAGCCTATGTGTTCGTGCCTTGCATTGCTGGCAACAGAAAAGGCTTATTTTGACCCCAGTAACTGTCACAGGCAAAGTTTAGATTATTTTAAGGAACAGGAGATTTTTGCTCTCACTATGACTCTAGGAGTGTGCTGCTGTACAGCCCTGATCTCGGAGTAACTATCTCATATGCAGAGCTACCTGGTACCTGGGGAAAGGAGCAAGACCCCGTTAAAGCCTGATGACTCCAGAAGGGATGCTGGGAGGAAAGGGTATGGGAGGAAGCTTGTAGAGCATGAGCTGAAAAATGTTCTTACAACTACTGTGTGCCATAGGCTGTTTCCCCCTGCCTAGTCAGATTTGCGAAGTGAGAACTTGGAATAAGTTACAATGTAGTAATTAAGAAGCATGTAAGACAGCAGAGAAAGGGAAGTTTTGAAACTTGAGTGAAAGTGGCAATAAGGACAAGCCAATACATTGTTACATTATTGAAAAAGTTGTTCTGTATTGATTGTTTTTTACATCACTGCAATCAAGATCACTATAGGAGTGTACTCCTTGGTTGTATAAATGCTTTATTGTAAATAGTGGGGTTTTAGGCAAAATATTGACATTGCAGAGTCTGAAAATACTATTTTATTTTATTATTTTTTTAGTTGTTTGTTGTTGGGGTTTTTTTAAGTTCTTGACATTGGAAGCATTTTATGTCACTTCTGCCCTTTTCCAAAGAGCACCCAGGGTCATCTTTTCTCAAATGCTTTATGGTCTCACTTTCTGGTTCTTTTGTTTGCTTTCAAAAACAGAATAGAACCTTTGGGGTTTGGTGTTAACACTCCTCTTCAGGCTCTGGACAGAAAGGTTTGCTGTGGTTTCCCAAGGACAGCCTCCCATGCTGTCTGCATGCTTCTGATTTCAAGGAGGAAGAAGGTGGGCTGTGATCTTCACCTTTTGTTCACAGGAAATTGCCCTGAACACAAGAACTGCAGCTTCCAAGTTCACCTTCTCTCAGAAATAAATGTTATCAGCACTAGGCAGCTACATTATCTGGAAAAGAAAGAAAGGAAAGGAAGGCAAGGAAGCCATCAGCAGCAAGTCTGCTACAGGGAGCCAGCAGTGAAGAGCTGCTCTTTGTAGGTTGCTTGGCCTTGTTGCTGATCCCGTGCTCCCCCTTCAGTGGGTGCTGCCATGCCAGGTGCCAGCAGTGTCCTGGGCTGCCAGGCCTGAGCATTGCTGAGTGTTTGCCTTGTCACTCCATGTTTCTGGGGAAAGAGGGTAAGCTCTTCAGTGCAAAATGTTACAAGTATATCTGAAGAGATTTCACCTTTTCTAATAATCCGTGCCGTGTACTTAGAAACTTAAAGGTTGTGTAAATATTGAACTACCTGGTTTGTTGGCTGCTGTTTGCTTAGCATGCAGCTTGTTATGGCAGGGACGTGGCTAGGCCAGGTTGTGCAGTTCATCTCCAGAAAACCTTATCAGTGGGAAAGAAAAACTCTCCCTTATCTCTCTTCACAGCAGTTTCAACAGAGAAAGATTGATCTTTAAATAAATCCTTTTTGATATTCCTGTAAGTTGACAAGCTACAGATTTGCTTATTTCAGTTTTCCCTGTTTAAAGCGTTACTGCCAAACCAACCTGTTTGGCATCTTAACTGAGAGAGACAAAATGTTTTTTTACTCTGAAGCAGGCAAGCATTGGGCTTTTCTGGGCTGGACTAACTGCTTTCAGAGATGCAAGAGAATACGAGATCTATCACCCAAAGTCCTACTGGGGCTTTTCCAGCTCTGAAGTGATCCTCTTACCAACCTGGTGAATCTTCTCCAAGGTGAGTGGCTCAGTGGAGATTGTGCTTTTCTGTTGAGAGGTGGTTCTCTTGCAGGCAAAGCACACGCAGAAAGATACAGCTGCCTTGGGGGTGGAAGAGCACAGGTTTTCACCCTGGGCCTGACAGTCAGTTGCAGTATGTTCTGAAATCCAGCCTGTCTCAGCTGGAGTAATAATTGAGAAGGACAGCTTATTTCAGAGTCTTCTCAAAAAGTGCAGTTGTTGGGTTTTTTTCTCCTAAATGTCACAACAGAACCATTCTCTTAGTGAGTGAAACCTGGTCCTAATCTCTGTTTATAAGCTGTGTCACTTGGTAGCTGGAACATCAACTCTTACTGAGACAAAATTTCAGGGAAAGAAACGCAGCTGTGTCTGCTTCTGAGGTCTTGTACCTTCTTGCTTTGTCACGTTCTAGTGAACAGCAAGAGGTTTCTTGCTCACTGCAGCCATCAGAAGCTGATGTGGCTTGGTACTACTACAGTCTTGGGATTCGTTCATTTGCAGTTACTATTTGTTTTGTTCTTTGTGGACAAGAGCAAGACAGAATTTTTGCATTAAAATGGCCCGTGTCACTGAGATTTCATCTCTTTTCCAAGCAGTGCTGTGGAGAGAGGTACCCTAGACACCTGATGCTTTCTCTCATTTTCACCAACTTGGATTCTCCCAAATGTCTTTGCCAAACCTGGGAAGCTCAGTGCTCTTCTTCAGGGACTTGGAGAGTAACAGAGAGCAATGCACATAGCTGCAACAACTCAATTACTATGTGCTTATGCCCATAGGTCTTCAGGAATTCTTTAATAAGCTAATTTTGGCACATACATAATTTATAAACCACATCAGCATGCTTCTGCAGCTGTGTTGGGAGAGCACTAATTAGCCCAGCTAATGCTGTACCAGTTTGAACAAGAACTCTGTTCCAAACACCTACTAAGAAAATGGCAGTTCTTTTTTTTTTTTTTTTTGGGGGGGGAGGGATGGATGGACAGACGGGTGGACAGGACACCCTGACCAAAAGCCACACCAAAATCCAACCCACTGGTTATGGCAGGTGCTAGTTTTGCTACAATTTTCTTGAGTGGTTTTGCAGGTCAAAAAGCAGAGAAAATCTTGAAATAGGTGACATTGTGTTGTGTTGCAGAAAATAAACAATCTGAATTTGCTATCTGTACTCAGTATCGAGTCAAGGACTTGAACTTGGGTGTCCTGCCTTTCACTTGAGCTTTCTAAGCAACCTAAGCAGCCTCTTGCATTATTGAGGACTGGGCTTTGTTCTTTCTTTGTCTGAAATGCAAAGGAGCAAGGAAATTGAATCAGTTCCACAAATAGTAGAGTGGGATCTTGAGGGCCTCTCTGTTGGTTTATAGTTTGCTGAGAAAATTCCAGAGGATTCTTTCTCCCTTCTCTGCTTCATGTGATCTTTGGTCCAAAAATCCAGGGAAGATGCTGATCCAGCCTTGCATGCATCCCATTTTTCTTGAACATGGAAGAGCTGTCCTTTCCAAATTGGGCAGAATGTATGATTTTTTTTCTTCTGTTATTTTCCTGTAGACATGTAACACCAGCCTCCTAAATGGGCACCCAAGCCAGTGAGCTGTTTGCTCAGGGATAGCCTGTCTGGCTCAGCTTTTCTGTCTCATGAATATTTTTCTGTTCAGCTCCAGTGTTTTGAGTATCAGGCAACACCTACAGGGCGCTGGGGCTGCTGCACAGAAGTGGGTTGGCAGGGTTGCTGCGTTCAGAGCTGGTGGGAGCTGCCCCTC